TTTCTTTTCCCTCCCTCCCCTCTCTCTTTCTTAGTTCCCTCCTGCTCACTAGGCGGTGCTCTACCACTTGAGCCACATCCCGGTCTTACTTCTTTTCTTCATCATTGAGATTATGCACTAAGCTTGCCTCCTCCAAAATCAATCAGGCTTTTTGGAAGTGATGAGTTCATGAGCACGGAGCTTCATGAGTGGATTATTGTCCTTGTGAAAAGAACAGAGAGCTCTATGGCCCTCTTTCTGCCAATGAAGACACAAGATATTGGTCAAACGCACCCTAGCAGAGGGTCCTCAGCACAAGCTGGGGTGCTAGCAATGACAATGGCACCCTGGAACTGTTTCAGGAATAAGGGTGGAGACTGCAGGTGCAGAGCAGCCTCAGCCCGGCACCTGGGGCTCCTCCCTGTCTTCCTCCAGCTCAGTTCTCTGGCCCCTGGGCCATCCTCCCATGCCCTGCTCTGGCTAACGACTTCCCTGGCTCCCCTGGTGCTGCTAGTTGGGGAAGAGCTCTGTGGAAGAGATGCCCCAGAATATGGGCTGCAGGGCACCTGCCTCGGCCCCACCCGCCTCAGTGGGTGCCTGTAGGGAGAGCTGCGTGTCCCTTCAGACCTGGGCTTCTGGTGGCCCTGCTGCCAGCCCGCCCTCCTGGCAGGGTCTCCACGTGAGATGCACATGTCCAGGTCCCTTGGCCTGACCAGTCTCGGTTTTCTCAGCGGCCGAGCCTTGTTTGAAGATGGCTGAGCACAGCGGGCAGGATCAGCGTGGCCCTGGTCACAGGTATGTTTAGGGTGCAGTAGGCAGGGTCCAGGGATCTGGGTGTGGCTCCTGGATACCCCCTTTTGCAGCCACCCAGGTGTTCCGGGGCATTTGGGGCTGGTCCTGGGCCCCTGGGTACCCTCCTCAAGGCTGTTCACTTGACCCCTCAGAGTCATTCTGAGCCCCACGCTCCTTCCCCGACCTGACTCTGGGATGCTGGCCCGAGGTGGACAGGCCCAGCTGCGCACACCCCCAATCCCAGCCCCGCGGGAGGCCGCAGGCGTCTTCCTGTCCCTGACCATCTGCCCTTTGCTTCCCTGGGGCCGAGGGTGAAATCAAATCCCGGTGACACGCAGGCTATTTTGGAGATGGGCTGGGCTGGCCAGCGGTGGGGGTGGGGCGGGGCCAGCCTTCCTCAGCCCACAGTGTTTGCCTGTCCTTTCGTCCCTGTCCAGTCTGAGGACCAGCCGGAGTGTGGGCTGCCGGGGGGAACCACACTGTCCTGGGCCCTAGAGGAGGCGCGACCCGGCAGCCCCTCATCTACCCTCAGTGCCCCAGCCTGGGCGCTGCCTGAGCCCCCGCAGAACAGGTGAGGAGGCAGAGCCGCAGTGTGATGTGTGGGGGTCAGCTGGGCGCGTGGAGCTGAAGGCCATGGTCATTCCACGGAGCTAGGGAGCTTTTAGGGGTCCACCCCCTGGGCAAAGAGGGGGCCAGGTTCCCACTTCTCATCCAGGGATGCAGAGTTAGGAAGGGACAGTCTGTCCTGCTGGGGTCTGGAAGGCTGGGACTGCCATCTGTACCACCGCGTCACTGGGCTGTCCCTCACTCTGAGAGTGGCTTGGGGGTCTTGCCAGCCCTGCCCCAGCTCAGATGGATGCCTGCTGACAGCTGGGGCTATTTTGGGCCCATTGGCTCAGTGGAGGGGACAGCCAGAGGGGCACTGACACTTGACTCCAGGAAAGAATTTCCTCTGGAGTGGGGGAAGCCGCAGGCCAGGGGTCTAAGGTGAGGGGCAGATTGCCCTTGGAAATCCCTTCTGGAAAGGCATTGGGGGCACAGGCCTGTGAAGATGTCGTTGGGTTGGTGGCAGGGGGAGAGGGAGGGCTGGTAAGGTGGGCGTCACTCTCAGGCTGGGCTCCTCCTGAAAGCCAGTTTCACCCTAGGAGGAGCCAAGATGGTAAAGTTCTGTTAAAGCCGGGGCGGAGGGGCGGAGTGGTAGCTGTGCATTCGTAGAGTAAGTGAGGGTCCTGATTCTGGTAGGCTAGACGAGGCCTCCAAAGGGCAGAGGACCCAAGCGTGGCTGTGAGGCAGACCTCTCCCCAGGTAGACATCCGCAGGAGAAGGGAGCTTCTGGACAGCTTGAGGGGTGGGGCCTCAGTTTCCCTTGGTGGGAGAGCTTACCATCCAGAATGCATATCTAGAAGCCTCCGAAGGGAGAGGAAGAAGCTTCTGAAGTTATCCTTGTCTGGGTTTTCTGGAAGCCGCTGAGTAGCCTCTCTTTCCTTGTTTGTAGCGGAGTACCCAGGAAGGAGGGCAGCTCCAGTCGTGAAACGTGTGTTTCATGAGCCTCTATCCTGCCTGAAGCTGCTGAGTGGGGGTGCCTGTGTGGTGGGTGACTGAGAGGCTCCAAGACACGGCCCCCTTAGGCTCCGTGAACAGTAGGCAGTACCTGGGCATGCCACTAACTGGTCAACGTGCTTGTGGTGGGCACACAGTCACAGAGCTGACAGCAGGGCCTTGGTGACACTGTCCCTGAAGGCCCCATGAGGCCAGGGGCTTGGGTTGACTTGTGTACCTGCCGAAGCCTGGAGCCAGCTTCTCTGAAACATACAGGCGTCATACTGTCTATACACTCTTGCTCCTGTGTCTGGCAGAGCCAGTGTAGGCTCTTCATATGGTAACAGAGGAAGAAGAGAGTTAAAGTAGAGATGTCCTGTCCTGCCTCGGGGACCTCACAGACTGATGTGTTAATTGGGGGGTGCTGGAAAGACCTCAGTGCTCAGAGCTCCTGGATAGATGATCTCAAAGCAGCCTTCCATGGAACAGATGCTGAAAGCCCAGGAAGTCTTGAGCCTTGGTCTGGGCTGCAGGTGGCTCCTGCCTGAGCTCTCCTGAAGCACAGGGAGATGTGGCCTGGCTGTGGAGAGTGTATGTTGCCCAGAGAGAGGTGCTGACTGCACAGTGAGTCAGCAAACCAGCAAGCGCAGCACAGCCTGGTCTAGGCTCAGCCTCCTGGAAGGGATTACGGGGATTAGGTACCTGACTCACTGGACTGAGAGCCGGAGGGCTGGCTGGACATGGACCCCGCTCATCCCACGGAGGCCAGCTCAGGCCCAGAGACTGGGTGCTCCAGTGGGAGAGTGCTGTGGTGCACACCTCTTTTCACCAGGATGACCATGTCTGCACAGGAGTGGAGGGAGTTAAAGCACGTTGTGCCAGCACAGGGTGCTCGGTGTCCTTACATAAGACCGTACAGGCAGACAGTCTCATCTCATCCCAGTCTAACAGGAGCTGGCGGGGACTCAGCTCTGGGTGAGCCTTTGGAAGACAGAGACATGCAATCCCCGGCAGGGGGCAGAGCTAGCAAGGCCATGGAGTGCTGCGGATCAGGCCGCTCAGCCTCGGGCTCCCTCAGCCCAGCCAGTCTTAGCCTGGAGCTCCTAGCTCTTCCCAGGAGGCTGAGATGTTGCTAAGCTCCAGCGTACAGCATCCTCTAGCTGTCCTTCCCAGTGACTTCACTGTATGCACCGTACACCCCCACCCCACTGGCCTAGGCCCACAGGGGGCAGAGCAGTAGGTGGGCGGCAGGGATGGGTAGGACATCAGAGTGAGTTGGGATGCCAGCCTATGGGCTGTTGGAGCCCCTGTGGTTGGAGATTGCCTTTCCCTTCCTTTCCTGCTGGTTAAGGAAGAACATACCCTCCCTGGGGGAGAGGGAAGGTGAGGGGCCCTATGGAAGAGGTGAGGCCTGCTCCGGTCCAGGGTGGCTGCAGGCAGGGTAACCTTGGTGGGAGAGGGGGGGGTCTGGGAAAGGAGGAGGAAGATGATGTGGCACACACTGAGGGAGGCGCAGAGAAGGGCAGGCTGCGGTAGAGAATCCCTCACCTACGGTGTACCATAGAGACAGGAAAAAGATGGCTGACCACTAGAACCTCAGTCCTGGTGGGCTCGCCACACCCCCACCTCTGCGTGGCCAACACTCAGCCAAACACGCAGCTGCAAACGCTGTGGCACCACGGCGTGGGAGGAGGCGGCCGGGTAGCTGCGGGCAGAGCTGCAGAGCTGCATCGCGTGGGAGGCGGCAGCTGGGCAGCTGCGGGCAGAGCTGCAGAGCTGCATCGCGTGGGAGGAGGCGGCCGGGCAGCTGCGGGCAGAGCTGCATCGCGTGGGAGGCGGCAGCTGGGCAGCTGCGGGCAGAGCTGCAGAGCTGCATCGCGTGGGAGGCGGCAGCTGGGCAGCTGCGGGCAGAGCTGCATCGCGTGGGAGGAGGCGGCCGGGCAGCTGCGGGCAGAGCTGCAGAGCTGCATCGCGTGGGAGGCGGTGGCCGGGCAGCTGCGGGCAGAGCTGCAGAGCTGCATGGCGTGGGAGGCGGTGGCCGGGCAGCTGCGGGCAGAGCTGCAGAGCTGCATGGCGTGGGAGGCGGCGGCTGGGCAGCTGCGGGCAGAGCTGCAGAGCTGCATCGCGTGGGAGGCTGCGGCCGGGCAGCTGCGGGCTGCGCGGGGAGTTGCATGGCGTGGGAGGGAGCGGCCGGGCAGCTGCGGGCAGACCTGCAGAGCTGCATTGGGTGGGAGGATGCGGCCGGGCAGCTGCGGGCAGACCTGCAGAACTGCATTGGGTGGGAGGATGCGGCCGGGCAGCTGCGGGCAGACCTGCAGAGCTGCATCGGGTGGGAGGCGGCGGCCGGGCACCCGCAGGCAGAGCTGCGCGGGGGGATGCCAATGGACCGGAGGAGGCAGCCGACAGCGGGGCGCCCTTCGGCCAAAGGGGCGCACCTGGCTGCCGGAGGGCGCCGCGGCGGGGAGGGCGCCGCGGCGGGGTCCCAAGAGGGATTTTCGCGGGCGGTGAGGCCGCCCGGGCGCGGGATGGGCGCCGTCCTGGCTGGAGGGCTCACTGAGGGGTGGGACCCCGCCCCGCGGCCGCGGCGCTGGCGGTGCTGCGGTGGCGTGGGGAGTCCACGCGGGCGCGGCGGGCGGCGGGCACAGGCCGGCTCCTCCGTCCCTCCGCAGGTGCCCGCCCCCGCCGGCGCCATGGAGCGCTCCTCCAGCGGCGCGCCCCGCTTCCTGACCAGGCCCAAGGCCTTCGTGGTGTCCGTGGGCAAGGACGCCACGCTGAGCTGCCAGATCGTGGGCAACCCCGCGCCGCACGTGAGCTGGGAGAAGGACCGGCGGCCGGTGGAGGCGGGCGCGCGCTTCCGGCTGGCGCAGGACGGCGACGTGTACCGGCTCACCATCCTGGACCTGGCGCTGGGCGACGGCGGGCAGTACGTGTGCCGCGCGCGCAACGCCGTGGGCGAGGCCTTCGCGGCCGTGGGGCTGCGCGTGGACGCCGAGGCGGCCGGCGCCGAGCAGGCGCCCCACTTCCTGCTGCGCCCCACCTCCATCCGCGTGCGCGAGGGCGCCGACGCCACCTTCCGCTGCCGCGTGCAGGGCTCGCCGCGGCCGGCCGTGACCTGGTCCAAGGACGGGCGGCGCCTGGGCGCCCCCGACGCGCCCCGCGTGCGCGTGGAGGAGCGCGGCGAGGCCAGCGCGCTGTGCATCCGCTCGGCGCGGCCGCGCGACGGCGGCACCTACGAGGTGCGCGCCGAGAACCGGCTGGGCGAGGCGCGCGCGGCCGCGGCGCTGGCGGTGGACGCCGAGCCCGAGGCCGCCGGCCCGCCGGGCGCCTCCACCGCCGCGCTGCTGGAGCACCTGCAGCGGCGGCGCGAGGCCATGCGCGCCCCCGGCGCCCCGGCCGACCCCGCGACGCCGCCCGGCGCCGGCACGCGCACCTGCACGGTGACCGAGGGCAAGCACGCGCGCCTCAGCTGCTTCGTGACCGGCGAGCCCAAGCCGCAGACGGTGTGGAAGAAGGACGGGCGGCCGCTGGCCGAGGGCCGGCGGCACGTGGTGTACGAGGACGCGCAGGAGAACTTCGTGCTGAAGATCCTGTTCTGCCGGCCGTCCGACCGCGGGCTCTACACCTGCACCGCCTCCAACCTGGTGGGCCAGACCTACAGCTCCGTGCTGGTGGTCGTGCGCGGTGAGCCGGCGGGCGGGGCCGCGGGGCGGGCCGGAGGGGGGTGAGGGCCGGCGGGCGGGGCCGCGGGGCGGGCCGGAGGGGGGTGAGGGCCGGAGGAGGGGGGTGAGGGCCGGAGGGGGGGGGTGAGGGCCGGAGGGGGGTGAGGGCCGCGGGGTGAGGGCCGGAGGGGGGTGAGGGCCGGAGGGGAGTGAGGGCCGCGGGGTGAGGGCCGGAGGACGGGGGTGAGGGCCGCGGGGTGAGGGCCGGAGGGGGTGAGGGCCACGGGGTGAGGGCCGGAGGAGGGGGTGAGGGCCGTGGGGTGAGGGCCGGAGGGGGGTGAGGGCTGGAGGGGGGTGAGGGCTGGAGGGTGAGGGCCGCGGGGTGAGGGCCGGAGGAGGGGGGTGAGGGCCGGAGGGGGTGAGGGCCACGGGGTGAGGGCCGGAGGAGGGGGTGAGGGCCGTGGGGTGAGGGCCGGAGGGGGGTGAGGGCCGGAGGGGGGTGAGGGCTGGAGGGGGGTGAGGGCTGGAGGGGGGTGAGGGCTGGAGGGTGAGGGCCGCGGGGTGAGGGCCGGAGGAGGGGGGTGAGGGCCGCGGGGTGAGGGCCGGAGGAGGGGGGTGAGGGCCGCGGGGTGAGGGCCGCGGGGTGAGGGCCGGAGGAGGGGGTGAGGGCCGCGGGGTGAGGGCCGCGGGGTGAGGGCCGGAGGAGGGGGTGAGGGCCGCGGGGTGAGGGCCGGAGGGGGGTGAGGGCTGGAGGGTGAGGGCCGCGGGGTGAGGGCTGGAGGGGGGTGAGGGCTGGAGGGTGAGGGCCGCGGGGTGTGGTCAGGTGAAGGGACAGGCCGGTGAGGTGGGCCGCGGCGGAGGGCAGCGGGCGCGGAGGGCAGCGGGCGCGGAGGGCAGCGGGCGCGGAGGGGAGCGGGCGCGGAGGGGAGCGGGCGCGGAGGGCAGCGGGCGCGGCGGAGGGGAGCGGGCGCGGAGGGGAGCGGGCGCGGAGGGCAGCGGGCGCGGAGGGCAGCGGGCGCGGAGGGCAGCGGGCGCGGAGGGCAGCGGGCGCGGCGGAGGGGAGCGGGCGCGGAGGGCAGCGGGCGCGGAGGGCAGCGGGCGCGGAGGGGAGCGGGCGCGGAGGGCAGCGGGCGCGGAGGGCAGCGGGCGCGGAGGGGAGCGGGCGCGGAGGGCAGCGGGCGCGGAGGGCAGCGGGCGCGGAGGGCAGCGGGCGCGGCGGAGGGGAGCGGGCGCGGAGGGGAGCGGGCGCCGAGGGCAGCGGGCGCGGAGGGCCCGGGCACGCGGGCGCGGAGGGCAGCGGGCGCGGAGGGCAGCGGGCGCGGAGGGCAGCGGGCGCGGAGGGGAGCGGGCGCGGAGGGCAGCGGGCGCGGAGGGCAGCGGGCACGCGGGCGCGGAGGGGAGCGGGCGCGGAGGGGAGCGGGCGCGGAGGGCAGCGGGCGCGGAGGGGAGCGGGCGCGGAGGGCAGCGGGCGCGGCGGAGGGCAGCGGGCGCGGAGGGCAGCGGGCGCGGAGGGGAGCGGGCGCGGAGGGCAGCGGGCGCGGAGGGCAGCGGGCGCGGCGGAGGGGAGCGGGCGCGGAGGGGAGCGGGCGCGGAGGGCAGCGGGCGCGGAGGGCAGCGGGCGCGGAGGGCAGCGGGCGCGGAGGGCAGCGGGCGCGGCGGAGGGGAGCGGGCGCGGAGGGCAGCGGGCGCGGAGGGCAGCGGGCGCGGAGGGGAGCGGGCGCGGAGGGCAGCGGGCGCGGAGGGCAGCGGGCGCGGAGGGGAGCGGGCGCGGAGGGCAGCGGGCGCGGAGGGGAGCGGGCGCGGAGGGCAGCGGGCGCGGCGGAGGGGAGCGGGCGCGGAGGGGAGCGGGCGCCGAGGGCAGCGGGCGCGGAGGGCCCGGGCACGCGGGCGCGGAGGGCAGCGGGCGCGGAGGGCAGCGGGCGCGGAGGGCAGCGGGCGCGGAGGGGAGCGGGCGCGGAGGGCAGCGGGCGCGGAGGGCAGCGGGCACGCGGGCGCGGAGGGGAGCGGGCGCGGAGGGGAGCGGGCGCGGAGGGCAGCGGGCGCGGAGGGCAGCGGGCGCGGCGGAGGGCAGCGGGCGCGGCGGAGGGCAGCGGGCGCGGAGGGCAGCGGGCGCGGAGGGCAGCGGGCGCGGAGGGCAGCGGGCACGCGGGCGCGGAGGGGAGCGGGCGCGGAGGGGAGCGGGCACGGAGGGCAGCGGGCGCGGAGGGGAGCGGGCGCGGAGGGGAGCGGGCGCGGAGGGGAGCGGGCGCGGAGGGCAGCGGGCGCGGCGGAGGGCAGCGGGCGCGGCGGAGGGCAGCGGGCGCGGAGGGCAGCGGGCGCGGAGGGCAGCGGGCGCGGAGGGCAGCGGGCGCGGAGGGGAGCGGGCGCGGAGGGGAGCGGGCGCGGAGGGCAGCGGGCGCGGCGGAGGGCAGCGGGCGCGGCGGAGGGCAGCGGGCGCGGAGGGCAGCGGGCGCGGAGGGCAGCGGGCGCGGAGGGCAGCGGGCGCGGAGGGGAGCGGGCGCGGAGGGGAGCGGGCGCGGAGGGCAGCGGGCGCGGCGGAGGGCAGCGGGCGCGGCGGAGGGCAGCGGGCGCGGAGGGCAGCGGGCGCGGAGGGCAGCGGGCGCGGAGGGCAGCGGGCGCGGAGGGCAGCGGGGCGCGGCGGAGGGCAGCGGGCGCGGAGGGCAGCGGGCGCGGAGGGGAGCGGGCGCGGAGGGCAGCGGGCGCGGAGGGCAGCGGGCGCGGCGGAGGGGAGCGGGCGCGGAGGGCAGCGGGCGCGGAGGGCAGCGGGCGCGGAGGGGAGCGGGCGCGGAGGGCAGCGGGCGCGGAGGGGAGCGGGCGCGGAGGGCAGCGGGCGCGGCGGAGGGCAGCGGGCGCGGAGGGCAGCGGGCGCGGAGGGCAGCGGGCGCGGAGGGCAGCGGGCGCGGAGGGGAGCGGGCGCGGAGGGGAGCGGGCGCGGAGGGCAGCGGGCGCGGCGGAGGGCAGCGGGCGCGGCGGAGGGCAGCGGGCGCGGAGGGCAGCGGGCGCGGAGGGCAGCGGGCGCGGAGGGCAGCGGGCACGCGGGCGCGGAGGGGAGCGGGCGCGGAGGGGAGCGGGCACGGAGGGCAGCGGGCGCGGAGGGCAGCGGGCACGCGGGCGCGGAGGGGAGCGGGCGCGGAGGGCAGCGGGCGCGGAGGGCAGCGGGCGCGGAGGGCAGCGGGCGCGGCGGAGGGCAGCGGGCGCGGAGGGCAGCGGGCGCGGAGGGCAGCGGGCGCGGAGGGCAGCGGGCGCGGCGGAGGGCAGCGGGCGCGGAGGGCAGCGGGCGCGGCGGAGGGGAGCGGGCGCGGAGGGCAGCGGGCGCGGAGGGCAGCGGGCGCGGAGGGCAGCGGGCGCGGCGGAGGGCAGCGGGCGCGGAGGGCAGCGGGCGCGGAGGGCAGCGGGCGCGGAGGGCAGCGGGCGCGGGGCGAGGCCGCGGCGTCCCGCGGAGCGGCTGCGGCCCCGGCGGCCCTCAGCCCTGGCCAGGCCGGGCGTGCGCTCGGGCCGCCGCGGCGAAGTTGGAGCGGGCGCGGCGGTGCCGCGGCTCCCGGCGTCTGTGCTCCACACAGTGCGGCCCTCGGCGGCCTTGTTCCTGGTCACTCGACATCGTTCCCTTCTCCCCGCGCTGCCTCCCCACGCCCGCCTGGCCGAGTGCGCCGCTCTCTCCTCATGCTCCCCGCGTCGGCCTCTCCCTCTATCTCCCCCTCTGTCTCCCCCTCTATCTCCCCCTCTATCTCCCCCTCTGTCTCCCCCTCTGTCTCCCCCTCTATCTCCCCCTCTGTCTCCCCCTCTGTCTCCCCCTCTGTCTCCCCCTCTGTCTCCCCCTCTGTCTCCCCCTCTGCCTCCCCCTCAGCCTCCCCCTCTGCCTCCCCCTCTATCTCCCCCTCTGCCTCCCCCTCGATCTCCCCCTCGATCTCCCCCTCGATCTCCCCCTCTATCTCCCCCTCTATCTCCCCCTCTATCTCCCCCTCGATCTCCCCCTCTGCCTCCCCCTCTGCCTCCCCCTCGGTCTCCCCCTCTGTCTCCCCCTCTGTCTCCCCCTCTATCTCCCCCTCTATCTCCCCCTCTGTCTCCCCTCTATCTCCCCCTCTATCTCCCCCTCTATCTCCCCCTCTATCTCCCCCTCGATCTCCCCCTCTGCCTCCCCCTCTGCCTCCCCCTCGATCTCCCCCTCTGTCTCCCCCTCTCTCTCCCCCTCTATCTCCCCCTATATCTCCCCCTCTGTCTCCCCCTCTATCTCCCCCTCTGTCTCCCCCTCTGTCTCCCCCTCTGTCTCCCCTCTATCTCCCCTCTATCTCCCCCTCTGTCTCCCCCTCTATCTCCCCCTCTATCTCCCCCTCTGTCTCCCCCTCTATCTCCCCTCTGTCTCCCCCTCTGTCTCCCCCTCTGTCTCCCCCTCTGCCTCCCCCTCTGCCTCCCCCTCTATCTCCCCCTCTGTCTCCCCCTCTATCTCCCCCTCTATCTCCCCTCTGTCTCCCCCTCTGTCTCCCCCTCTATCTCCCCTCTATCTCCCCCTCTGTCTCCCCCTCTGTCTCCCCCTCTGTCTCCCCCTCTGTCTCCCCCTCTATCTCCCCCTCTGTCTCCCCCTCTGTCTCCCCCTCTATCTCCCCCTCTATCTCCCCTCTGTCTCCCCCTCTGTCTCCCCCTCTATCTCCCCTCTATCTCCCCCTCTGTCTCCCCCTCTGTCTCCCCCTCTGTCTCCCCCTCTGTCTCCCCCTCTGCCTCCCCCTCTGCCTCCCCCTCTGTCTCCCCCTCTATCTCCCCCTCTATCTCCCCCTCTGTCTCCCCCTCTGTCTCCCCTTCTATCTCCCCTCTATCTCCCCCTCTGTCTCCCCCTCTGTCTCCCCCTCTGTCTCCCCCTCTGTCTCCCCCTCTATCTCCCCTCTATCTCCCCCTCTGTCTCCCCCTCTGTCTCCCCCTCTATCTCCCCCTCTATCTCCCCTCTATCTCCCCCTCTGTCTCCCCCTCTATCTCCCCCTCTGTCTCCCCCTCTGTCTCCCCCTCTGTCTCCCCCTCTGGCTCCCCCTCTGG